GTTAGCGGTTTGTATTGTTTTTCGTATTTGGGGTCTGGTGGCTGCCAGGGCATAAGGAGGGTCTGTCTGCCGAGTAGTTGGATTGGGCCTTTCCCTTCGGGGTGAATAGTGTTCAACCTGGGCCTAGTGACGGTGCCGGTGGGTAACTTTACCTATAGAGGGGGACAAGGGTACCTTATGGGGTAGGTGTTTTAGGCCCCGGCCTATAGTTCGGAATGGTCTTTATATAGGATCATCAACGTTCAAACCTCCATATTAACATTATAACAGAAACATGTATAAACATTAAAACATTTCAGGGTATACAGGCCTGGGTTATTATTTGGTTTTCTGCGGTGGTTTCCGCCAATCAGAATAAGAGTCCAGCGGCTACCAGGGCCGGTTTCAGGTCATTGGCGCCTGGTTGGCAGTCCCGGTTGTTGGGGGGGTCTCTTCTTAGCTTGTTGTCGGGGTATTTGTTGGTTGTAGTCCTCCCTGGGTTCGTTGTTGTTGCGTCGGTCCCTTGCTGGAACTCCCGTGGTAAGCTGAAGCCCCAATGTTGCTGCAAATTCTTCCATTTCGGCCGGGTGGTGTAACGTGTGGTCTTGGTCTCCTATGCGGACTTGTAGTTTGAAGGGGTGGCCCCACCTGTATCTCAGTCCTTTTTGTGCCAGTGCTGTGGTGAGGGGTCTTAGGTCCCTTCGTTTCTTCAGTGTAGTTGGAGCTAGGTCCTGGAAGAAAGCTAACGTGTGGGTCCCATATTTTGGTTGTGTGGTTCTGGCTGCTGCCATAAGTTTTTCCTTGGTGGCAAAGTGTAACAGGCGGACAAATATGTCTCTTGGGACTGATGGGTTAAGGGCCAGTGGCCGCAGGGCCCTGTGTGCCCTGTCTAGTTCCCTCTCCTGGTCTGAGGAGTTTGGGAGTAGGGACCGGAATATTTCCTGTAGCGTGGGCAATATGGCGTCCGCGTCTACTGATTCTGGCATGCCCCTTATCCTGATGTTATTTCTACGAGAGCGGTTGTTCAAGTCTTCTAGGCTATCTTCTAGAAATTGAATTTTATCGCTTAGGTAGAAGATATCTTGGCTGTGCTGGGTCGTGGTCGATTTAATTTGGGTTATGGCAGTTTCCGCTTGTGATGTGCGGTTGTTCAGGGTCTCAATTTCTCCTTTGAGGCCTGATATGTGCCGCTCCAGTTCTGCGGCCGTGTGTGCCTTAATGTCCGCTGAGGCGGCCAGCAACATCTGGTGAAGGTCAGTTTTGGTTAAAGGTTCTTGTGTACCTGGGTAAGTGGTTGTTTCTCTGTCTGGAGCCTCGCTGTCGTCTGAGTCTGCTCCAGATTCATGAGCTTCCTGGCTTAAAGATGGCCGCCCATGATCCCTGGTGGCTCGGAATATGGATGTCACCGATAGTGGGGTTTCCTTTTTTTTTTTGTTTCTCCCCATTGTGATGCTGAGTGGGAGGTTTTGTGGGTGCGTTAGAGCCCGTTTGTGCGGCTGGATGCCCGGTGAGAGGTGCTGATGTTGGCGGATTCAGGCTCGTGGACGGGAGAGCTCAGGCTTCACACGTCCTGCTCCATTGGTGTTCAGGCTCCGCCCCCGTTAGTTTTATTTTTTGCATTGCGGGTCACAGCGTCCACGGTGGGGGATGAATTATGCACCACGGAGGTGGCCTGGTGTGCGCTATGGGCTTGACACATCGCTTGCATGAGTGTCTGGGAGAATGAAGCAGACATAGCCCCCATGGCGGAGGCCAGCACTTTATTTATGGACTTAGCCATGGTAGTGTCCAGGATAGTCTGGAACTCATCAGAGGCCATAAAGGCCATGTCATCAGCTGTGGGGGATTGGAATGGGTGCGGCGGCTCTCCCATGGGAGGGGGAACCTGCAGTTCCTGAATGTGGTCGGAAGCCGCGAGGCCGGGGGGAAATGATGAGGTAGACAAGTATAAAGCAAACCCCAGGGGTTCCCCCAAATCACCAGTATCTCGGTGAGGGTGGTCTGGATATACACCAGGCACAGAACAAGTGGCAAAAGAGTAAAATAAACTTCAATAAAATACAATATATAAATATAATGTACAGTGAAGAAAATTGTGTACTTATCTCTGAGGGAGCAGCAATAAAGAGGAGGAGCAACAGATGACACCTTCCTTTCATATGGACACTGTGACATTATTGGCTGCCACTGTTCCTAGGCAGATTTAAATGTTTAAAGTTTATTCGTTTTTCTCTCAACTTTTCTTGCTGCTGAGGGAATAAATAAGAAAGAAATTGCATATATACGAGCCTCTGTGTCTATAATAAAATCAGGGATTAATTGGCACCAAGCACTTGAGCGGTATACAGTAACGTGTGGGATTCTTGGGATGCTGTGTTAGGGTGTACTGAGGGGAATTATGCGGTGGAGTTACGTTTAGATGTTTTGTTATGGTTTCTGTGTCGGTTGTTTGTGTCTGGGGCCTCGCCGTCGGGCGTTGATCGTAATCTAGCAGCGTTGGCTTTCCTCTTCAAGTTAAATGGGTGGGAAGTCTTGACCAAGCACTTTCTGGTGGGTCAGGCTCTGAAAGGTATTCGTAAGGGAAAGAGAGATCATGATACCGTCTTTGTTTGATTTGCTCCTCCAGCTGGTTGGGGGATTGCAAGCTCTATGTTTTTCTCACTATGAGATATTGTTGTTTTCGATGGCATTCGTAAAGGGAAGATAGGGGTTTTGTAAAAGGAGTGACAGGAGTTTTTTAGAGGGGTAACAGGGGTTTGTAGAGCAGACAGGGGTTTTGTAGATGGCAGTGGGTAGGATTTTGTAGAGGGGGCAATGGTTTGTAGAGGGTGGGTAGCGGTTTCGTAGAGGGGTAGGCAGGGGTTTCATAGAGGTTTTGTAGAGAGGTTACAGGGGTTTGGTAGAGGAAGGCAGGCATTTGAAGAGGGGGCAGAGGTTTTGTAGAGGGGGCAGGAGTTTTGTAGAGGAGGGGCAGGGGTTTTGTAGAGAAGGGCAGGGGTTTTGTAGAGAAGGGCAGGGATTTTGTAAAGGGGAAAGGGGTTTTGCAGAGGGGGTGACGAGTTTTATAGAGAGGTAACAGTTTTTTTCTAGAGAGGTGACAGACAGGGGTTTTGTAGAGATCCAGCAGGGGTTTTGTGCAGGGGTGAAGGGGGTTTTGTAGAGGAGGGCAGGGGTTTTGTAGAAGGGTGACAGGTGTTTTGTAAAAGGGAAGATAGGGGTTTTGTAAAGGGAGTGACAGGGGTTTTGTAGAGGAGGGCAGGGGTTTTGTGGAGGGGTGACAGGGGTTTTGTAAAGGGAAGATAGGGGTTTTGTAAAGTGACAGATACAGTGTGACAGGGGTTTTGGACAGGGGTGCAGGAGTTTTATTAGGGCTTTCTCCACAACGTGTGCTCAGTCTGCACCAAAACTCCAAGAGAAGAATATGGAGATTGTGTCGCATTTTTTTGTGTATTTTTTTGCAAATCATTTTAGTACCTCAAATTTGGGTAGTGGACAATGGCATGTCCACCCCCATAAATATAGGTGGGGGCTAGTTGGGGGACATTAGGTTCCTCCAATGTATTATTAATAGAGCCCTCACCCACAGCCCATAGGTGGGGGCTGGGAGATAGGACACTAGCTTTCCAGCTTGTATTTTATTTAAAGTTCCCATCCACCACCCATGGGTGAGAGCTGGGATGGGAACACTAGGTTCACACACCTTATATTATATATTTAGAGCTCCCACCTGCTGCTCCCAATGGGTCTCCCCTTTCCTCATATACAATTAGTAGCCCTTACTTGCTGACCAGGAGGGGGCAGTGAAGATATTAGGATTAGCCCCACTCAACCTTGTCATGGGTGGGATTAAGGGGGTGGA